CATCTTCAATCCTTCATCACGAGACAGTTCCTACAATTATAGTCATAAATTTAAGTTACCTTTCCGTGAAACAATGGATCTGTACATTATGTACTTTGGATTACGGTATATAAACTAACCTTGACTTAGTTCGTCTTGTAACATGGACCTACAATGCATACCTGGTGTGTAGCTTTTCACCACATGTGGCTTACCATTTGCATTTGACTTCACCCAACTGGTCTCTATCCTGTTCAGTAAGATAAGTCTGCAGGTTTTCTTTTTTGAGACAGTTGCCCATGGCAGGTCTTTCTGCCATGAATCTTCCGTTGTCCTTCTCTTCTTCTCATGAATACACTCTGTTTTAAAACTTTACGAAAATAAAAACATAAGACAACTCCACTGATCATGAACTTATACCACACAGTCTTGTCAAATGGTGACACATGGTTTCACTGCTTACTCTCAATTTCTGGACCTATCTCATTAAAGACTAAGCTTGGGGACTGGCAGTCAGTCCCCTGACCACACTTGAAGTAGCACTGCCTAGAATTCCTAATTTCTAAATCAAACTCTTAGTTCCCTCAGTCTTGTACTATAGGAGGTGTAGTTCCCACGTCCCTGGCCATCCTGATTACTCATCTCTAGAAATGCACACCTTAAAATGTCTAAAATGTCTAAAATGTAGTACTTAGAATCCACTGTTCCTAATATATGTGACTAGTGCAGAATACAGTGGGTCCTGACAGTCCCAGTCCTGGCCATGCATCCTAGGGTTGGCAACTTTATTTGGTAGCCATATTATATGGTCAAGTCACATTAAGTTTACATCTTCCAGAACTCTCAAGTTTATTAATACCAAGGGTTGTTGAACTAAGTCCGCTCCATCCTGCACATTCCGTAGTTGATATTTGAAGTTAGGGGCATTCCATTTTACTTTATGAAATTTTATCTGATTATCAGGCTATCCTTCAATTCTAAGATCTTTATACTTCACAATGTCGCTATTCTCTAACAATGATAATAAGTTTAATCTATCATTTTAATGTGTATGTGGTATTTTCACCTGTAATCTTATGTAGTTCTTCTGATAAACCATATTAGATGTGTACTATTATCATTATTACTTTACAGCTAGAAAACTGAGTCTCGAAAATGCCTTAGTGAATAGCAGCCTTGTGCCATCTTTACAGTTTAAAAACATGAGTTCTGGCTCACTCAAGTTATTCTTGAAATAGTCATATCCCTGTGGATGTCTCCAGAGGTCCCTCCCTCATTTGCTTAGTCTTTTGGTCACAGATTTTGGTGGAGTTACTCAACCAGTTATGAACAAAACTCTCTGTAACATCCAGCACGGTTAGCTGTTTTGGCCATAACAATATCATAACATCTTTTGTCAGCTGCCTTGCTGAAATTCTGAAATTCTATGTCCCTAGTATGTCCATGGTCTGCTAAACCACTGAGATAAGAGAATAAAGTCTGTTTGGTGTGTCTTTTTTTTCATAAACACAACTGTCTCTTAGAGGTCTCCATTTTGTATTTCTAAGTAATCACAAATTAGTCATTGTTAGCTTCAGAAAAATTATCAAACAGGTGAAATATGGTAATCTCCTAAACAATCAGTGCACTTCCACAACTATTGTTTGGGAGTCTGCCATATGCCTGATACTCTACCAGACCCTGAGTGCATTAAAAAAAAACTGTTAAACTCTGTTGCAATATGTTTTTCACACTGTAGATCATGGCCCTTTGAAGGGTTTTCAAATGAATGTGGTGGATCACACTCAATATTTTAAAAAATAAAACAGACCAAACTAAACTATAAAATTTCAGAGTACAAACAAACTAGGATAATTATTTCAGGATGAATTTTCTTTTGCTTATGTGTAATATGTATGCATGTCCTGAGCTATGATGGAGAATGTATTTTCTATTGTGTCTCTATCAATAGTTTGAAAGATCCAGCATTCGCAGAAGAAACAGACAGGGAACCAGTTCAGTCTCCTCTGGGACATACTGTGATAATTTTATGCACAGGGTGCCAAAGGAGAATGGGTGTTTTTCTTTGTAGCATTTTGTTTATTATTGCTTTGTTTTTTGTTTGTTTGCTTTGGTTCAAATGACCTAAATACTGCAAAATTTCCCCGAACTGTTTGCCTTTTTTTTTCCTCGGGAGTTTACCACTTTTTCACATGCCTTTGTTAGCTTTAAAAATCTTCCTGTAGGCCAAAGCTAGTACAGTATAACAAGCTCTCAGAACCCAACAGAAAAGACCAGGCTCTCCCTCCCAGAGGTTCCAGGCCACGGTGCCCAACTTGGCATCTTTTCTTAACCTAAATAAAGGAGTCCTTAGCCAACTAGTATGTGGTGTGCTGGCATCAGTCACCAGGTTTGAGAGAGGTAGTTGGAGCCAACACCAAATATTGTAGTTTCTATTTTTAAAAGTCTATATTTTCTTTAAAAGCATAGCCTTCTTTGGCCTTCTCCAAAACTATTTGCTAAAAGGGCTTTTTCAGAATGCTTGCTTAATAGAAATGTCTTCTTACTAGCTTCCTGAAATTCAGTACAAAAATCCAATAAGCCAACCACCAGCCTATCGTGGTACCTTATATATAAATGACCCTCAGATGTCCATCTTTATTACACAAATTGCAGGGAAAGAGAATGTAGAAAGTACTGCTAAGAAAGTATATTTCATCATCTAAGAGTCTTTAGACGGGGGAGATGCCTTTTTTTCATTTGCATAATTATAACTTTCTAAACTCTTTCATCAAAGCTTTTTTCAACTTTTTAAAAATCAATGCTGATTTTCCACTATGATTTCAAAGCTATAGAATTCTCTTTTTCTTTTCTTTTCCTTTTTTTTTTTTTGAGTTGGAGTCTCACTCTGTCGCCCAGACTGGAGTACAGTGGCCACTTCCAGCCACCGCAGCCTCTACCTGCTGGGTTCCGGTGATCCTTCCGCCTCAGCCTTCCGAGTAACCGGAATTACAGGTGCACACTACCATGCCTGGCTAATTTTTTTATTTATTGTAGAGATGAGGTCTCGCCTGCACAGGCGGGTCTCGAACCCGCGGGCTCAGGCAATCCACTCACCTCTGCCTCCCAAAGGCACGGGATTACAGGCTGAGCCATTGAGCCCGGCTCCTTTTTTTTTTTTTAAGAAACCTGGGTCTTTGCTATGTTCCTCAGGCTAGACTCAAACTCCTGTACTCAAGGGATTCTTCTACCTCAGCCTCTCAAGTAGTTGTAACTATTGGCCAACTTGCACCACAATACTTGACTCCAAAGTTCCAGAATTCTTGTCAGTTCCTTGGTTTTGTACTTTCTTTTAACTTATACTTCAATGTTCAAATTTGTCATCTAGTCCAATCTATACAGAAACTAGATTTTGAAGGAATAAGAATGGGAAAATCCCAACAAGTATTAACTGTGCATCTATTTACTTTTCCTTGAAAACAATATGTTGCAAGATTAAGGGATATCCAGGTGGATGCAAAGTAGGTAAGAAGGTAAGAAGCAACTGAACAAACATTGAACAATAACAAATAAACAAATATTTCACCATGAAGGACTACCAAATGCATTACCTCATTTTATTTCCTCAACAAATCTATGAGGCAGGGCCTGTTTTTAATATCATGTTATAAGTGACAGAAACTTACGTCAGAGGCAGTAAGTAACTTGTAGACAGTACATAGCACTTAACTGGGACCACTGACATTTGGAACCAGGTCTTAGACTGAATGCTCAAGTGGAAGGAAATGAATTTAATTCGATTCACACAAAAAAAGTATTATGGACTTCGCACTGGCAAGGATATGCATATGGATAAAGATGTTTTATATGAATAAAATAGAGAAACACAGGCCCTGCTCTTACTGGGCCAACCTGTAGTAGTTGAGAGTGAAAGTTGTCAAAGCAGAAGGCTTCTCAACTGAAAAATTACACGATCCTATTTAGACTACACGGTGGAAAGCTGTTTAGATGGGAGAGATGCTACAGGCAAAGATTCTAGTCAGGTATTTTAGTGTAATTGATCCAGAGAGCTGTGGCAAGGCCCTAGACTAACGGAATGAGAGTGAAGATACACAAGAAAAAATGGACCTCAAAATCATTTCAGAGTCGTGTCTCGTGATATGCATGGCAAGGATCTGATGATTCGACTTATTTCAGAAGGAAATTGTAAGCTCTAGGTCAAGGTCATGCTGGGCCCTAGGATACACAAAGATAAGGAAGACTGTCTCTGGACTCAGGGAATGCAGACTCTTCTTTCCCAGGTGCTGCAAATCCAGGCAGAAACCAGACTGCTAAGGTGAATGCATGAAGTGCAGAGTGTTAGTGCAAAGCCATGGGGGCTCACGAGGTGCCTATCTTAACAATGACATTCCAATTTGGAATTAATTAAACAAGAAGGTGGGTCAGACAGAGCAATCTCTAGAATGGCTCCCAGATTTCTACCTACATAAATCCAGTGGATAATGTTTCTGTTTCCTTACAGAGGGAATGCACGTTAAAAATCAAGTGAGAGATTAAAGTGAGATTAAAGGGAGATTAAAGTGAGGAATGTTAACTGTGAGATATATTGACATTGAGGTTCAGAAGAGGGAAGCTGGAAATAGGGTCCCAGGGCTCAGTGGTTTCTGGAAAGAAGTGCCTTTTATGGCAGAGTTGAGTTCCTCCGTGAAAAAGAAGACTGCAGGTGTTTTATATTTAGACTGTCTAGTCAGAGGGTAATTATACCCTTTTTGTAATCAGCCAGGGAAAAAACTCAGAGAGGAAGGAAGGATTCAAAACCTCTATGAAAATGGAGAGGAAGGGCCCTTGGCAAGCTGAGAAGAGATATTCTGGTCACCAGGGAGGACGAGAACATGCAGGACAGTGAACATGGTGGAAGGACTGAGTAGCGGTGCCCAAGGGCTTGGTTCACGGGCACCTGTGCATAGGTGGATGGAGGGAAGAGAGGTGGAGGACCATGCCTGCCTGCACTCAACTCACTCAGTTTCCTGGATGTTTTGCAGGGTGACGACTCCGATGAGGAAGACCTTTGCATCAGCAACAAATGGACTTTCCAAAGAACCAGCCGCAGGTGGTCTCGCGTGGATGACCTCCACACGCTGCTCCCTGGAGGAAGCAGGAATGGGTCCCCAGGAGGCACTGGGATGAAGATCACAACCAGCAGCGAGAGTGTCCTCACCGACCTGAGCGAGCCTGAGGTCTGCTCCATCCACAGCGAAAGCAGTGGGGGCAGCGACGGCCGGGGCCAGTCGGGACAGCACTGCGCGGACAGCCCGGTCATGCTGGATGCCCCACTGGTCAGCAGCGGCCTCCCACAGTCCCCCAGAGGCATCCCCCACCACACTTTCCACTCCAAGAATGAGAAGCCCAGCAGGGCCAGGGCCAAATCGTTTTTGAAACGCATGGAAACGCTCCGAGCAAAGGGAGCCCACGGGAGGCATAAGGGGACAGGGCGGACAGGTGGCCTGGTCATCAGTGGGCCTGTGTTACATCAGGAGCCGGAGTCCTTTAAGGCCATGCAGTGCATCCAGATACCCAATGGAGATCTCCAGCGCTCACCCCCAGCTGTCTGCAGGAAAGGGCTCCCGGCCTCCAGCAAATCAAGCTGCGACAGCAGCCCATCAGAACACAGCAGTAGTGGAGTGAGCACCCCGTGCCTGAAGGAACGCAAGTGCCACGAGGCCAGCAAGCGCGGGGGCATGTACTTGGAGGACCTGGATGTGTTGGCGGGGCCAGCCCTGCGGAATGCGGGGGACCAAAGCCACATGCATGCGTTCCACTCCCAAGAGAATTTGGTGGTGCATATTCCCAAGGATCACAAGCCAGGAACCTTCCCCAAGGCGCTTTCTATCGAAAGCCTCTCGCCCACAGGCAATAGCAATGGGGTTAGCTGGAGGACCGGAAGCATCTCTCTGGGCAGACAGCCGAACCCCAGTGCCAGGGAGCCCAGGCTCGTGGCATCCTGCCACAGAGCCAGTCGCGTCAGTATCTATGACAACGTCCCGGACTCCCATCTGTATGCCAGCACGGGAGATCTTCTGGACTTGGAGAAAGATGACCTCCTCCCCCACCTGGATGACATTCTACAGCATGTCAACGGGATCCGAGAGGTCGTGGATGACTGGTCCAAAGATGTCTTGCCCGAACTACAAACTCATGATGCGTTGGTTGGGGAACCTGGCTTGTCTCCATTTCCATCGCCTAATCAGATCACCTTAGATTTTGAAGGTAACTCTGTCTCAGAAGGTCGGACAACACCCAGTGACGTAGAAAGAGACGGAACATCTCTTAATGAGTCCGAGACCCCTGGGGTCAGAGAAAGAAGGGATTCTGGTGTAGGGGCCTCTCTGACAAGGCCAAACAGGTAGGTGGCATGCTTGGCGAGGTAATTTTTCATCCATTTCATAATCACTGTGCTTTCTTTATTTCTTTAAGAAACATTTTAGAGCTCGCTCTTAATGCCTGACACTGTTCTAAGTGATGTTTGTGGTTAGGGATATTTGAATAGAAGTGTATGTCTTTTGTACAGCTATCATGGTGATTGAATCCATGTTCACTCACATTTATTTATCTGACTGTTTTCTTTTTATTTTGATCTTAGTTTTAGTCAATAAGATCTGTTGAAAGCCGGGCTCGGTGGCTCAGCCTATAATCCCATGCTTTGGGAGGTTGAGGTGAGAGGATTGCCTGAGTCCGCGGGTTCGAGACCCGCCTGGGCAACTTGGCAAGACCTCATCTCTACAATAAATCAAAAAATTAGCCAGGCATGGTAGCGCGCACCTGTAGTTCCAGCTACTTGGAAGTCTGAGGCGGAAGGATCGCCGGAGCCCAGCAGGTCGGGAGCGGCCACTGCACTCCAGTCTGGGCGACAGAGTGAGACTCCAACTCAAAAAAAAAAAGATCTGTCGAACTTCTTATGTGCAAACCATCACACCAGGCGCTGTACATGGGGAATCTCAGATAACCGGGGCCCAGTTCCTATACATAGGCTTTTTCCATGACCTTGGGTCAGTGTCGATCAAAGTATCTCCATTCTACATTTTAAGCCTTTTTGAATCCTATGAGAAATTTCTGAGGTCTAAGGTGTATATTTCATAAGTTTTTTGTTTTTGTTTAATGCTGATTGCAAAGTCCATAAAAATGGACTTACAAGGACCGTTGTAGAAGCACCCTAGAGAAATAGCCCCAGGAGGCCTGACTCTAGGAGCAGTACCACTGTGCGACCTGCTGGATTTCCAGTTGAGTCAGTGATTTGTCTTGGGCTCGCTGATGAGTCATCCTCTGTGCCTGTCACCTTTAGGCTACATCTCAATATGGAACAAGAATTAGAATTAGTGTGGATGGAGACTTGGAAGGCAATGTGAAAATATTCTACAGCCCCCAGACATTTGAGAGCTCTCCCTGCCTCTTTGTTTCCCTCTATTCTCTCCGTTTCTTTCTCTTAGTCTCTCTGTGTCTCGCTCTGTCTCTCTCTGTCTCCTCTCACTTTCTCTGTCTCTGTCTCTCCACTCCCTTTGCCTGTCTCTGCCTAAACCTCTCCATCTTTCTTTCTGATTCTTGCTCTCTCTGCCTCTGTCTTTCTCTGCCTATCTCACTCTGTCTCCTCTCACTGTCTCTGTCTATATCTGTCTCTATCTCTGTCTCCCCACTCTGCCTCTGTATCTCTCTCTGTCTCTCTCTCTGTCTCTGTCTCTCTCTGTCTCTCTCTATCTCTATCTCATACACACACAGTCTCATCTGCTCTCAACACTCTGCGAACACATTTGAGAAAAAACAAAATGTATTATATTATTTATTTAAACCTCCTAATGAAACAGATAATCTGACAGTTCCAGATATACTTATTGGCAAAGCCCATTTCTTTCTTTTATTTTTTTTTAACTTTATTATAAAGATGTGGGTACAAGTCAGGTTTAGGTGCACAAGTGGTCTACATGCAGGTGAGGTTTTGGCCTCCCACTGGTCCTCCTTTCCCCTGGTTTAGGATCAGGTACCTTAGTGATGTCACCATCTCTTATGTGTGTTTCGCACACGTGTGTCTTCTGTTCCATTGGCTTTGTGATGTCCTTGACTCGGGAGCTATTTTGATGAGCCACCTATGCGTGGGTGATGTCCCGTGTCTCCGATGCCTAGCCCACTCTGTGACTGGCTTCTCTGACGTCTTTCTGGTCCAGGCGACTCCGGTGGAATAGCTTCCAGCTCTCACACCAGCCACGGCCAGCCCCGACGTCCCCACACATCAGTAGCCAGACGGCCGGCCAGCTGAACCTGCTCCAGCGCTTCTCGCTGCTCCGCCTCACAGCTGTCATGGAGAAATATTCCATGACCAACAAGCATGGCTGGACATGGTACGTAGCACGTCGGCCCAGAGGGCTCGTGTGTTCTAGAGTTAAGTGTGCAATTGCCAAAGCTTCGGCATTGCCTTTCTGATTTCTGAAGATCCCATGGGTTGCCTCTATGGACGGTCTCCCGGATTTCAGCTGTGCCACAGCTCAGAGACCTGCAGGAGCCTACAAGGAAGCATTGCTTTCTTTGTAGCTGTCAGTTGGTTTCCAGGGAAGGCAGTCAGGCTCCAAGAAAGAAAGAAAGAGAAAAGACAAGTAAAGGGTGATTAATTGTGAGCAGAGGAAATAAAAATAAGCTTGCCATAAAATAATTCTGGCAGTTTGCAAAGAAACATCTGTCACTTGTACCTTCTGACCTGATGCAGAGCCACCACTTAGAGCGTTGATTCATTCAAAGAGCGTTTAATTCTCCAAATACGTTTTTGCTTTTATTTCATTGGCAAATAAAAACATGACTATGCAGTAAACCTTTGTAAGGAGGAATTGACAAAAGCATATGTTGGAACTTGAATGTGGACCTCTTATAGATGATCTGGGTTTGAAAAAAATACAAAATGTAAATTGTCCTACGTTATATATTATGCATATAAAAAATCAATGGTGCTTTTATAACATATTTTAGAAGGTTGTAAATTGCATGGTCAAATCAATATACGCTTGTGTATTAAAATTCCCTTTAAAAAGTGCAACCAGCCGGGCTCGATGGCTCAGCCTGTAATCCCGCGCCTTTGGGAGGCTGAGGTGAGTGGATTGCCTGAGCCCACGGGTTCGAGACCCACCTGGGCAGCAAGACCTCATCTCTACAATAAATCAAAAAATCAGCCGGGCATGGTAGCGCATGCCTGTAATTCCAGCTACTTGGAAGGCTGAGGCAGAAGTATCGCCGGAGCCCAGCAGGTGAGGCTGCGGTGGCCGAGAGCGGCTACTGCACTCCAGTCTGGGTGACAGAGTGAGACTCCAACTCAAAAAATAAATAAATAAATAAAATAAATAAATAAAAAGTGCAACTGGCTCTGGAAAAGTAAGAATAGAGCCAATAATAATAATAATGATGGTTTATCTCCTCTCCTTTCTCCCCCAGGCCTAACCAGATTTCTTCTTCCTCTTGTAATTTTTAAATCTGTTTTGTTGTGTTGGGGACTTTTAAGTGTTCATCACTTGAGAGACATGGCAGTCACAATTAAGTTGGAAAGTTGTCCGCTTCACCCCAAAATAGAGACTCAGGCTGCTTGATGGTTAGAGATAGCACGTAGGCGAGGGCCACGTGTGGCACTGCCACATTATGGGATTAGCGCAGAGAGAATGTTGCATTCGCCCTGCATCTGCCCAGCGTTGCAGCAAAAGCACCGCCTCCCTCTCGCTTGTTTCCACAGCATCTCTCCACCGTGGGCCCCAGGGGGCTCACGTGACCTGGTTTCTGTGAATTCTAGGGCAGTTCCAAAGTTCATGAAGAGGATGAAAGTCCCCGACTACAAAGACAAGGCTGTCTTTGGCATTCCTCTCATAGTCCACGTCCAGAGAACGGGACAGCCCCTGCCTCAGAGTATTCAGCAAGCCCTGAGATATCTGCGCAGCAACTGCCTCGATCAGGTAGGGCTGTGATTCCCTCCCCCCCACCCATGGGCTTGGATGGGTGGAGTGCCAGACCGAGTCAGATCTGTCCTGCATCCAGCAAGGCAAGCCTTCCCAAAAATAAAAGTTGTTGCGATCTTCATGTGTCAATATTTAATTTGAACAGGCTATATCCTATTCGAGGATGTTTTCTCTCTAGCAGCTGAAATGAGGCTCCAAAGGGACTGCAGAAAGTTGATGTTCAGAGTTTGGTCCTGTGATGTCTCACCTGCTTTCCCTAGAAACTGGGAGTTAAGCTGTGTACTGCATTTTCATTTTGATTATTGTTCCAATGCCACCAGTGACTTCACAGCATTCTTTTATCTGTTGTATTATTTTTGAAAAAAATTTTTAAGTTTCTATGTCTCCTTTTATTAGTTCTTTTTCTGTTGAAACAGTACCATGATGGGAAAAACTCAAGCCGAAGACAGATGTATTTACATCTTTTGGAAATGTGCAAGTAAAATATGAAAAGAGTATCTGCTAAATAAAATATCTCCTCATCTTATAGAGTTGATTAAAAATCTCAAGCTAAACATAATATTCAGAAATTGTTTTCTGCCTCCAGGACTGCTTGGGGACCACCATAATGGTGGGCCATGATTAAGTCCAGCATGCAAGTCATCCTATAATGTATAAAACAATGCATTTGCTTCTCCAAATTAACACCCATTAGTTTCTTAGATTTTCTGTCCAAAATAAAACCATATTCCTAACTGATAAATTGCAACCTTAGGGAGTAGGGATATTTTCAGGAAGTAGTTTTTGTTCATTATACTCTTTAATGACATGCAAAGAATATGCACCAGCCTAAGATTATTTGCACTTTTTGTTGATTTACCCTTCACCTTCGGCTCAATAGACAGGATGAACTAAGCTACATGAACTCAAAGACCCTGGCTCCTGATGCTTGTAGAGGCCCCCAAACTGAGACCACACTTAAAATTAGGCTAGTTTCTTGATGAGTCAGAAAACAGTTTCCGGTGGGTGTAAAGGGATTCACTGCTGCATCTGAAAATCATCTTTGATTGACCTGATTGCCTGCTACCACGTTTGTTCCTCCCCACTTCTAATTTAGAGAATATATAGATACATATTTTTCCATATTTCCATATTCCAAAATGGGTATAGAGATACACTTTCCATATTTCCATGTTTTAGTAGAGGGTGGCATGGCTGCTGTCATTGTTTCGATGATGGCCGTTTTGTTTTGAGAAATGGCCTTAATGACTTGCCTCTCATTTCTCAGAAATAAGTGTAAGAGACTACCTTTCTAGGGTGTTCTTCTTTGACAGATGACCGCACTAATTGAGCAAACCAATGAATCTGGTTACATAAGCATATATTTTGATTTTTTTTTTAACTTTAGAGATTTTTAACAAGAATATGCATTATTCAAAGTTAATGTTCTAAGGAAGTTTTACTGAGAAACATTTTTGCAGAGGTGGGCTCTGGTGACTATTTGGGAATGCCCACTCTATCACTTTTCCAATGCTAAAAGTATCGCAACCATGTTCTTTGGCATCGAACTTTGTGACCCCAATTGTACTTGTGTTGGTTTGTCAGTCAAGATCCAAACTGTGTTTTGTGAAGAGTAGCCTTTTTTTTTTTTTGAGTTGGAGTCTCACTCTGTCGCCCAGACTGGAGTGCAGTGGCCTCTCCCGGCCACCGCAGCGTCGACCTGCTGAGCTCCGGCGATCCTTCCACCTCAGCCTTCCGAGTAGCCGGAATTACAGGCATGCACTACCACGCCCGGCTGATTTTTTGATTTATTGTAGAGATGAGGTCTTGTCAAGTTGCCCAGGTGGGTCTCGGACCCGTGGGCTCAGGTAGTTCACTCACCTCAGCCTCCCAAAGCGCAGTATTACAAGCTGAGCCACCAAACCCGGCTGAAGGTAGCCTTTTATTCAGACACATGCTTCTTCAGGCTTCTCAAGTTTCATAAGAGTTTGTATCAGACTCCCCTCTATCTTGGCTCTCTTAGAGTCTCTGGCTCTGCCTTTTACCAAGCACAGACAGTATTTTACTCTAAAACCATGGCCAGCTAATGCTTATCAGCAAAAGCTATATTAAGAGAAAACAACGTTTGTTCAGGAATGCCTAATGGAAGTGCAGGCTCCCTGTGCCATTAGTTTCATAATAATAACCTTTCTCAACTGCCTGGCATGTTTCAGACAACTGTACTAAGGGTTCTGGATGCATTGCCTCATTTAACTGCACATGCACCTTGTGTGGTGTTATCCCCAGGTCACTGGTGGAACCAGCACTTGCTTGCAAATATAACTCCAGAGTACAGGTTCCTACTACTACTTACTAGAACTACTTTTCCCCAGTGGACTGTGTGGTGATGTCATCTCTAGCATGGAGGGACACTTCAAGAAATGGCCCTACACAACTCATTGATGGATTCACAGATAGGATCTTGTTGCTGATGTTGGCCATTACATCATGTAGTATTCGTTCTGTAAGAATGGGAGGAAGACATTTGCTCTCCTTTCCTCCAGCATCTGAAAGCACTGTGTTTCTTTTGGAAAATTGGTCTGTTTTTTTTATATGTTGGACATCAAACTCACCCATCTGTGTGAGTTTTCCTCACTGTATTGTCTGTTAGAAAGCTTGGAGCCAAACATGAGGGAGGTCCCTCAAAAAAAAAAAAAAACAATTATTTTTGGAGGGCAGTTGCCTTTTAGTACAGGTTTCTTCCACTGGGTAAGTGTTCAAGGAACCCATCAGCATCAGTGTACCAGCTAGCAGCTAGCATTTTTATGAGCGGCTTCAGTGATTTTCTTTTTTTTTTTTTTTTTGGAGATTCTTTCAGCATGTTTGCCCATTTCGTGATGGGTGATTTGCAAGTGCACCTGCCCACACTGCTCTAAGTATTCAGCAGTTTTTGATGAAAAATAGCATGACTCCTGTGCTCCACCCTCACTATTACCTGATCTCGCCCCTGGTGACTTTTTTTGTCGTTGTTTCTCTGGATGAAAAAAGTGCTCAAAGGGAAAGTATGGAAGAGGTGAAACAAAACACAGCAGAAACACTGAAAGGCATCAAAATTGACAAGTTCAAAAACTGTTCTGAGCAGTGGAGAAAGCATTTCAAGAGGTATATTGCATCAAACGGAGAGTAGTTTGAGGGTGACTGAAGTTTAAACACATAAGAATAAATATACAATTTTTCATAAATAAATTCCAGATTTTTGGGGGGTTCTTTCTTGTATGTGTTCTGCCTGTAGTGAAAAATATAACTTTTGGCATGAATTTTCTGCTTCCCTCTATCTTTTCCTTTTGCTGTAATTTTCTTATCTATTATCTTTAATTATCTCTTACTGTATTTTATAGATTATTATAAGTCACCTTAAATTCTTTCTTGAACAAAAATTGAGTATAAATTAATGAATTGTAATATCACTATTCCACTCACCCCTGAGACTTTAGTGTAGAATATAAACCATCACTGTTCCCTATAGATTCTGAACAATGTCTCCCACCAATATTACTACTGTTAGCAAGTCCAGTCTCCCTTTTGAAGCAAAAGCCATAATAATAGACTGAAAAGATCCAGGTCTACACAGGGTCTTGAGATCTCAGCCTCAGAGTCATAGAAGACCAGAGCCTCACCAAATATTCTCCCTGAATGCCAGCAACCACCATCCCAGGCCCTCTGAAGACTTTGCTCTGGGTCTTAGGGAGGAGTTTCCTGCAATGAGTTGGCCCCTTGCCTTCATGCTAAGCATTCACCTAGAGCTCAGACACTCATTGTAGACAGCAGACGCCCGCCCCGTAGAGCCTTCCACCTTCAAACGCCGAGGGCAGAGCAGCTGATGTATGATGTCACACAGTCTCCATTTTCGCCCTTGCAGCTGACTGGGCATGATGAAATCAGGAAGTTCAGCCTCCAATTATGAACCATTTGTATTCAGACATAGTCGTGTGTGAGAGGAGCCTTGCTTTGTTGTGTGAGCTTTTATTTCTGCCCTAAATCAGCTGTGCACAAGAGGATCGGCTAAACCCAGGTCCTGATGAATGCGAAATCACTGCAGTAAGAGGCTAACCCTGCCACACTCAAAGCGAAAACCCCTACCACACACTCATCTTACGATCTTTTTCTTTCTGGATAAAACCAACCTTTCTTCATGAGCTGGGCACATTTCTAAAGAGGAGCAAATGGAAGTCCTGATAAACACCACTAAGTCTCAAAGAAATGAGCATACACAGGATGCCAAGGAGGAGATTTCATAGGACTTAGATGGAATTTGAATTCTAATACAGCACTGGAGCTCAGCTTCCCCTAATAGAGAGGCAGGTTGTAAAAATCTAATGACTCCGGGAAGGCACTTAGTACTCATGCAAGTGTCCCCTGCCCTATGACCTGCTCTCTGTTCTTCACTTTGCTAGCTGCTGAAGCTCAGATAAAGTGAGACATGCCCTGGGCATTCACTTAAATGAAACCTGAGTCCTTGCTTTTTCATAGCTGGGTTTTTAGGTGGAAGACAAAAGAGAGAGAATGTACAGGAAAACTAGACTAAGGGGATACTTATCATTCATACTCTTACCTCCCAAAGTAGAGAGACCCCGTGCGTGAGAGATGCTTATAAAATGAACTCTGTGTGGCTGATGACCATCATTCTTTCAAGAGTGGGTATCTGGACTGGGCTTTATTTTATTTATCTTTTTTTTTATTTATTTATTTATGAGTTGGCTTCTCACTCGATCACCCAAGCTGAAGTGCAGTGGCATGCTCACAGTCACTGCTGCCTTGACCTGCTGGGCTCAGGCAATCCTTCCGCCTCAGTCTTCCAAGTAGCTGGAACTACAGGCACACTCCACCACACCTGGCTAATTTTTTAATTTACCGTAGAGACAAGATCTCACCAAGTTGCCCAGGCTGGTCTCAAATCCCTGGGCTCAGACAATCCTCTGACCTTGGCCTCCCAAAGTACTGGGATTACAGGCTTAAGCCACCTCGCCCAGCCTAGGGCTGTCCTTTCATGGTCAGTGAGCACAAGACCTACTGTGTCACTTGCAAGACTCAGTGCAAAATGAAAATTCCTTGTTCGTCAATTACTGAGAATTTCAAAATGGGGACAGCAGAGCATGACACCAAGCGTGGGGCCTATGTGACTGCCCAGGCCGCCAACCTGTGGGTGCGAAACATGGAAGCAAAGGAAAGACGTTTTGCCCTCTAGGGTCTTCCTCATAGGAAGCTGATGGATGGACTTGGTACTGCCTCTCATCAGCGTGATAAGGATGAGCAACCAGTTTCTTCCTTTCTACTTGGAAAATAAATCTCTAGTAAAAAATGCAGATGTTATGTTTGCTTTGGAAACTTTTTGGAGAAGAAATGATTCTTGGCAATCACCAGTGCCATCACCTGGTGTTGTTCTATGAAAAGACAGAGAAGCTTTCCTTATGCTTTCAAGATCTCCATGCCATTAGAAGGACCTCTACTCACTGTGTTCAGGCCTTCCACAGTAAGCAGCAGAAGCTCTGTTCCAAAATATCTTCTTTTTTAGAGACAGGGTCTCACTCTGTCACCCAGACTGGAGTGCATTGGTGCAGTCATGGCTCACAGCAGCCTTGGCTTCCTGGGCTCAAGGGATTCTCCCACTTCAGCCTTCCAAGTAACTGGAACTATAGGCTCATGCCACCACAGCCAGCTAATTTTTAATTTATTTTTTTAGAGATGGGGTCTTACTGGAGTTCCTGGACTCAAGTGATTCTCTCTACCTCAGTCTCCCAAAGTGCTGGGATTATAGGCATGAGCCTCCATGCCCAGCTAGGTCTTAAACAATAGGAAATTCATAGTCTCACATAACAGTAGAAACAGGATTTGTTCCAGGGTTCATTCATTCATCAGTTCGTTGCTATCTTTGAAGACTGGGGTTCTTTCCATCTTTCCCTTCTGCCACCCTCGGCAACTATATCTGGAATCTGATCTGATTTGAGTCCACCTTTTCTTGATTAAGTTTAGGAAAGAAAAAAATCTCCTCCTGTGCTTCCAGCAAAAATCCACAGAACCCACAGATATTTCCCACGTCCTGTAGAAGATAAGGGCGGGGCAAGAAGGTTTTTGTCAGAATTTGAAGCAGAACACATAAATCCCTGACAGCCCTCTGGACATCCTGAGATCTAAGTCAGAACAAGCAGCTCAGAGCCCGCAGCTGGAGAGCTCCAGACATGTCTAAAATAATTAAACTAACAATATTTGCTGAAACCAGAAGGAAACTTGGAAACCGAACAACACAAAGATAGCATCACTGGGATGAGTGTATACATGCACATCAGTGTGTACTCAGAAACCGAGTCACAGGACACAGTGGACAAAAAGGAACGTGTTCCACAATTTAAACACAAATACTGTCCACTTTTTTCTTTTTATAGATTGCGCCCAGTATTTCTCTGCTGTTTTTAAAAAAATAGGAATCCTTCTCAAATGGAATAATACCAAATCACATGAGAATAAATATTTGTGAGTCACATGGAAGAATTCACCTTCAAGGCATTTGGACTCTGAGAACTCCCGTGCAACGCAGACCTGTGATGTGCGTTGTCCTGGGCCTCCTTCCAGAATTAGAAAAGCCGAGGATGTAATCAGATGGGAGATGGATCTTGCTTCAATAATCACTCATTCATCACCTTGAATTCCTCTTTGCTTTTGATAGTACATGCTTTCTTCCCAGGCACTTTGATGAAACTTGGAGGAGTCTCCAGATGAAGGAAGATACATGTTCTTTAGACTCTTCATGGCAAGTCATCTAAGTAGGGCAAAGTTTTGTATCTTCTAGACAGTCCAGACTTTAAGAATAAAAAAGAAAGTAATTAATGTTTTAAGCACAATATGCCTGAATATCCTGACCTGTGGGATTAGGGTGATAAGCCTTGGAATACAAAAAAGGATTGCTGAGCATTCTATTTGTGTGGCCACAAAAAGTAGCATTTATCGACTCCCCCTGCGATCCATTCAGCTGACATATACAAACTCTTGAGTATTCGCTAATGGTTTGGGATTCTTCCCTTGCTGTTACTGCAATTTAAGAGAACAAAGGCTGCTGCTGTCCATTTGTAGAGCAATCAAAAGAGGCTTCGTCAGATACCTGAGCTTGAGTGAAGGCCGGGCTGACACACAGCGTCCCGTGCAAGTGTTCCTCCAGGTCTAGAGAGAAAGAGCAATGGCGGATCTGGCTAATTCCAGTGGGCACTGCCTACCGGCCTGACCACTCGGGAAGGTTCTCCACCTTGCTTTGCAGAAGCGGGCCGTCCCATGAATCACTGGGGAATGACAGCAATGAAAACCAAGAGATGAAGAAGTGAGTTTTAAGCCACTTGATGCCCTCCAGGTGTTTAAAATAGCATATGTGTTATTTCACAATAACCAGGCCTCCCAGGAAAGCTCAATTCTTTTGGACAGAGGCAAGTACAACATGGAAAGGGCCTCTAGAGGGCTTAGAACTTAGCCTGCCAACCACTGCAAGGCCTCCAGAGATGCAGGGCTCTGCTTTCATTCTATTCATTCATTCATTCATTCATTCATCTTTATTAGGGTCACTATCTCCTTGGTGCCATATTGTAGAGAGCAAAAAAAAAAGAGTCTAGTCCTAAGGTGACAAAAGCATGATGTGACAATATCTTAAATAAAAAAGAGCCACCCAAGAATCAGTCTCACTGGAGCCATACCATGAACGCATAATAACTAACCAGGTAGAGTGGTGAGTGCCAGGCATAATATGAGTAGCCTATGTCGCAAGTGCCAAGGAATCCAAAACAAATAAGGCCCTTAAATCAAAAGACATACTTACATGACTTTTTCATGAACATTCCCCACATAAACCCCTCTCCCAGAGAGGATACAGCTGTGTATCTGAAATCCTTTTGTTTACCACCCACGTTATTTCCAACAAACCTCACATTGACCAAACTTTCTCAAAACCTCAAATAAGTGTAGATACTAGAGGGCAGGGAATTTTGTCTGTTCTCCTCACTGATGACTCCCAGCAACTGTAAGTATGTCCGATACACAGTGGGTATTTGATCACTGCATGCCAGTAAATGCGTGCAATAATAACATCGACAGTGTGATAAAACTTTACGGGTCACAAAGCACATTCACATCTGTTTCTCTGGTTAGTCGCCACTACAGCCCTGTGACATGGGATCTGATTTCTATCTTTATTTTATAGGAGAGGAAGTTGGGGTTCAGCTATTGTCTATTGAATTACCCCAGTCATTCAATGCTAATTAGGGGCAATTCCAGCTTGTGCAGCCCTGGTCCTGAGCCTCCTTCTCACACCCAAGGTGCCTGTCTTCAGGAGAAGGTGTCGGGGAAAGGCAGCCTGGCTAAAACATCCTTGTGTTTGTTTCAGGTGGGTCTTTTTCGCAAGTCGGGAGTGAAGTCTCGAATCCATGCCCTACGCCAAATGAATGAGAACTTCCCGGAGAGTGTCAACTATGAAGACCAATCTGCATATGATGTGGCGGATATGGTCAAACAATTCTTCCGGGACCTCCCAGAGCCTCTTTTTACCAACAAGCTCAGCGAAACCTTCCTCCACATCTATCAGTGTAAGTGGAAATAATGAGATCGGTGTTCCTCTTCCACGAAAAATCATTCCCTACAGGTGGAGTTTTAATTATACAAACAATAAATAAACTTGCCCTGCTCTCCAGAAGTTACCTTTGCTTGAAGTTAGATGTGGAAATTCCCAGGCCACTTTTTATGCATTTGCAAATACCTTTTGACTTCAAAATATTCTTTCTCAATAGAGTCTTGTGTAAGATCTAAGACAAATTTTCCATATACTTAGAATAAATTTAAAATGAAAAGGGGACATGATAGAAGTTGTTTTGAGTATATAGGTATTTATAAAAACTCATTTTCCTTGGGCTACAGGAAATTCAAAGTGATGTGTAATTAAAATTACTAGAACTATAAAGCAAGTGTATTTCAGTACAGTGTATTTTAATTGGTAAAAGTAAGCAAACCAAATCAAGGCTTAAGTTTAATTCAGCTCACTTATCTTTTCACTTAGAGTCTTTTAGGTGATGTTAAATCGGTAGTTCTCGGAAAAGCTTATATAATTAAAACAATCATTGAAAATAACAATCATACATTAGGTGTGGTGGCTCACGCCTGTAATCCCAGCACTTGGGGAGGTGGAGGTGAGAGGATTGCCTGAGCCAGGGGTACAAGACCAGCCTGGGCAAGTTGGCGAGACCTCGTCTCTACAATAAATAATAATAATAAAAAAACTTGCCGGGCCTGTGGTTCCAGCTACTTGGAAGACTAAGGCAGAAGGATCACCTGAGCCCAGTAAGTCGAAACTGCGGTGGCCATGAGCTTGCCACTGCACTCCAGCCTGGGCAACAGAGTGAGACTCTGACTCAAAAAAAGAAAATAACAATTGTGGAGAAGTATATTCTACTAAAGGTAGTTGCGATGGGGAATATTAGAAATAAGCACAATAAGCACATGACTCTTTTCTGGGTATGATAATGTTAGGATTATGAATTATTTTGATGACCCAGGTCCTAATTCCTTAGAGGAAAAAAAATTGGCCCATGGACTTTGAGGTTTCAACAAAATATGCCTGAACTGACTTTGACATGGAGTTGATCCAATCTGAAGAAGATATCTGCCATAGAGAATCATGTACTCAATGTGTTTAAGGAGTCCAATACTGAAAACTCAAAAAGGGTTGTAATCGGTATCACTTGTAAAAACAGGTTAACGTGGCAGCCCACTAAGTAAATATAATTTTGTCAAAGTGAACAATGTAAGTCAAATTACTGATATACATTGCTAGAGCCTAAATACAGGGAGTTCTTGACATTTTTGCCTTGGGAGTCTGAACTACATTTTTCTTTTTTTTCTTTTTTTTTTTTTTTTTTGAGTTGGAGTCTCACTCGGTCGCCCAGACCGGAGTGCAGTGGCCGCTCCCGGCCACCGCAGCCTCGACCCGCTGGGCTCCGGCGATCCTTCCGCCTCAGCCTTCCGAGTAGCCGGAATTACAGGCGCGCGCTACCACGCCCGGCTGATTTTTTGATTTATTGTAGAGATGAGGTCTCGCTGCCCAGGCAGGTCTCGAACCCGCGGGCTCAGGCAATCCACTCACCTCAGCCTCCCAAAGGCGCGGGATTACAGGCTGAGCCACCGAGCCCGGCGTTACATTTTTCAATTAAGCCTCTCTTATGGTTGGAAGTGCCATATAAGAGTCTTTACATTTAATCAGTTTTTAAGTTAAGGTTGACACTTGTCTAAGGCTAAAGCCAAATTATTTCCAAGAGACAAAAATGCCCTTGGCTCTTTCTGACACTCAAGCAAGAGGCCAGGTCAAAGCAAGGCTTTATTTTGGCTGAGCAAATGTTTACTGAGTGTGGCTTCTGCACAGGACACTGTGCCGAGGTCACAGATGGGTGAGACTCTCTTTCTGGTCTTAACAATCTTTCAACTGAGGGAGATGAGACATGAACGTGAAAACTGCAAAACAGCAAAGATGAAGAAGTTTCATAAAATAGTTACAAAGAAAAATCCAAGGAGGTGGAGATGAGGAATGAGAGCTTTGTGGAAGAAGTGACAACTGAAGATTGAGGTATCTGAGGAACACGGTCTGGGTGAATCAAGTAGCATGAGCACATGTCAGGAGAGTACCGGGTATTTGTCTGACTTGCGTGTGTGGCAAATGCACAATGCGTCACCAAATAACACTGAAAAATTAGGCCAGGGTCATACAAGGAAGGACATTGAGTATTAGGGCAGGAGTTTATACTTGATTTATTAAGCATCTGGGACCCTTGGGCGTTGTTGAAGGACTTACCTGTTACATTGCTCTCAGCTGTAATGATAGGACCAAAAATCCAGCAAACAATTGTTTAAACAATAAGCACATTTTATTAGCACACGTAATTCCAGTCTTGGGTAATTCTGCAGCACACTGATGCCAGAGCTACAGTCAGCCTCTCCTGACTTTCCCCTTAAGGTCACAATATGATTGTCACAACTTATAATTATCACGTCTTCACAAAACCACATTCAAAGACAAGAAGAGGGCGAGAGCGCTTCTCCTTGGGCACTTGTCTCTTTTTATCAGGGAAATAAATATTGCCAAAGCTCCTAGAATTTTTCTTGGTTCCATCAGCCAGACATGCTTTACCACTTCTCCCCTAAACCAATCACTGGAAAAAGGATTGGGATTACCGTTTCTGGTATAGGCCAACATGAGTCTGAAGGAGGACCCATTGCCCTGAGTATATTGCCGCCCACACCTGAACGAAACATGTGATTTCTAGTGAGGAAGAAGGAGTACTGAGTACGTGGCCATCCTTGTGTCCGCCACGGGGTGAAAGTCTATCAGCACTATGCCTTTGACCCAGGAATCTGGAAGTGATGCACAAGAGGTGTTGGACTGACCAAAAATGAAGAGTCACAGTGTGTTAATTCAGGCTCTGGGTTACCTATAGGGACTTCCAGAAGAGAGACCAGAAGGGAGACATTCTAGGATAGACCCTGGACCCAAAGTTTCCAAGCTGCCACTGGGCAGAGAGGGGCATTTTCTTCTCCAGTTCCCCATAGCCATTCTGTTCTCAGCTGTGCCACATCTTGGGCTTTCATCAAATGACTAACTACAATGAAATGTTGGTGGGTAATGAAAATATTTGAGTCCCACCAATCTATGGGAGGGAGAAAGATGTGGGAAGTCAAAGACAACCATAAGGTTTTAAGGCTTGATGACTGACGAAATGTGGAAAATTAAGGGGAGAAGGACACTGATTTGGGACAGGGAGGAGAGAGATGTTCAGAATCAATAGTACACTGAGTTTAAGATGCCAGCAGCTATATTTGGTCACAAATTACCAGTACTTAGACATATAGCTCTAGAATAGTCTCCTGAGAGCCAAGAAAGGGGCAGGAGCTTTCACACAGCAGGGTTGTGTGAAACAGAAATGTCAAACCGGATCAAACTGTCCTGGAATACTGTGAATACTGAATTTAGGGATTAATGGCTGATCTTCTCAAGCATTTTTAGTAAAGAAATAATCAACAGACTATATTTCCTGAGGGAGAAAGGAACAAGTCAATAGAAAGGAATTGACACAACACAAAGAGATGACAGGTGGCTCTACAAAAATGGTGGCATGGGGAAAGCCATTGACTTGGAAGAGTTTAGTCATCTAAAGTTAAACAATACATACACACTAGACATCTTGCCGATAGCAGATTTAGAAACAGTTCAGTGGGGATCAAACTGAATTGATCACACTTCTCACAAGCTCAAAATCATTGGTAGTATCTGTTTCTGCTTCAGCACCAGCAAGAGGAAAGAAAATAGTTTGACCAAAATGTTAACAAAATGGCTCTTGTCTGTGAACTTCAGTTATATCTTGTACCGATACACAATGGACATGCTGGGTGAATGCATGATCAGACTTTTCCAATAACTTGGATTCGGGGCTGGATGACCAGGGCCAGGAGTGTGGCAAGCCCTGGGGTGTAAGACCCTTCTACGTGGTGCAAAAGGGCAGAAGAGCTCAATATCGACCGCCCACAGGACCACAAGTCCTATGACCATCTAACACCAGGTAGAAAGTCACACCTCCGCCCTCTATAGCAGCAAGCTCCGAATGTGTTTCTGTCATGCACCCCTATCCATAGTAGTAAATTTTGGAGTGTATATCTGTGTTTAGTAATATGAATGTACTGTGATGTACCATCACAGAGCATGCCCAATTGGTATTTTTAATGAATGAGCGAAACATAAACACAATTGGAAGTACAAATGTTCTCTTCCCACACCTCAAGGGATTGTTACGAGCACACTCCTCTAACCCCTTGGAGTGCAGACATCCTAGCGTGGAGCCCTCTGCTCCAAAATTTGGTATTTTAAGAGAGACAATAGTTGAAGTAAGTGCCCAGCTGTGTCTTTCAAGTGAGAGTGACTAAGGACAGTGAATCAGACCTAAGTGATGGACAAATAGACACATCTGAGGGCACAAAAGACAGCACTTAACACCCATTTGCTGTGAATTTTTTCACTTCAATTCCCTATTTTGGGGGAGCGGAACTGGGACTTCCAAGGACACCACATTCCCCAAAACCTCAGTGGTGCCTCTTCCCCAACCATAGCCTCAATTTCCAGAACCCTCAAAACTTTGGAACCGGTGACACCAGGTCTCCACATGAAGTCAATAACATATATCCTCCAAACCAAGCCCTGGGTGCCATGTAGGAAAAAGACAGATGTACCAGGCTTCCTTTTGAGAAGCTGACCCCTTAGGAGTGAGGCCAGAGGGCCGGCTAGCTTAACCCCACTCCTGGTGAATTGTGCCACGCGGGCTTCATGGCCTGGGTGCTTCTCCAGGCAAGGCTGCTGTTCCCTAGCCCAGGGGTTCCAAATCATGTCCCACAGAGCCTTGGGCATCCTGAGAGGTGCTTCCCAAGCTGTCTGGCAGGGAGGGTAGGCTAAGAGGGACACCAGATTAACAGAGCCCCAGTCAATCGCCACTTCGACCAGAACAGAAAGGCAGTCAGAAAGCTGACTGCTCAGAGTACACAAACCAGGATGGAGGTCCCCCCTTCTAAGTCCCTCCTGGGCATCAGGAATGGGTCCTGGAGTTCAGTTGCTGGGCTTGGCATTCAGCTTCTGCTTCTCCCAAGCTGTGAGGCCTGAGCAAGACTCACCTCCTTGTGCCCTCAGCTGCCGTTCTTGTTGCTGTTGAAGTCCCTGAGTGTGTCTTCCCACCTGGAAGGTGGAGCCTTTGCACCCTCTCCTGGCTGGCTTTTTCTGTGACCATTCTGCTAATGACCTGCCACCCACTCTTCCTCAGACGTCCCCAAAGAGCAGCAGCTGCAGGCCGTCCAGGCCGCCATCTTGCTGCTGGCAGATGAGAACAGGGAAGCCCTGCAGACACTCTTGTGCTTCCTGAATGACGTGGTCAACTCAGTGGAAGAGAATCAGATGACGTCCATGAACCTGGCTGTGTGTCTGGCCCCCTCTCTGTTTCACCTTAACTTATTAAAGAAGGAAAGTTCTCCAAGGTAGGTTTTGCTCGGCGGCAGCAGTAAACCCAAACCAGGCATTCCCCACAGTTCATGAAACAAATAAATAAGTAAACGAAACATGTCTCGTGCTACATCTCCACTTCAGGATTTGCCAGTTTCCATTTCATCATCAGAAAATGTTCCGAGGCACCCGAACTCATGGGGCTCAAATTCATAGAATGATCGAAGTAGAGTTGAAGAATGTCAGTTGGGATCCAAGAAGCCTGAGTTTGGTTTGGTTTTGTTTGTGTGGATGAGAAGGAGGAAAAACGTACACAAAGTAGTATTATAAGATGTTTACTTTTTTTTTTTAAAGGCTTTATTTAAGACCAAAGCACAAGAGCCTGTAGTTCAGGGATTTCAAACTTCGGACAAACAGATAAATTTCCACCCCTAGCGTTCTTCCAGCCTGTGTATTTTTCCAAGACTTTTTGTGGCGAGCTGTCAGACTGATCGTCTGAATTCAGAATATCTGAGATGTGTGATCATTGTTTTTATTTGGAAATGAGAAAGCTAGGGATCTGGATAGCATCTGGGTATGAACGGAAAACAAAAGGGACAGGCTCGGTATTGTGACAAGCCCTTTGGCGTGGGATCCGCTCAGCTCACTCACATTCAATTACAGAGTCATACAGAAGAAATATGCCACTGGGAAGCCAGATCAAAAGGACCTCAATGAGAATCTGGCCGCGGCTCAGGGGCTCGCGCACATGATCATGGAATGCGGGAGACTTTTCGAGGTGAGCAAACGGCTCTAAGCGCCTCTCATGTAGCTCTTGGAACTAGATAAGACGCTTGGGGGTGGTGGCTCTATTTATGGTATCTGTCTGTTTGTTCCTGACTTCATAATGACAATAAATATGCTCTATAGCTCTGGTCTTTGCCTCCAAGAAATGTGAGGAGCTTGCTACACAATCGAGGCTTTGATAAAGACGCTTGAGGTTACTGTGCCGATGGTTTTCATGCAAACAGTTGCATCACCTGCCATTGTCAGGTTCAAGGCCAGTCAGCCAATTACATTTTATTTGATTTTTTGCCTCTGGACTTGATTAGATTCAATATCTTCACAAATGCGTGGTGTGTGATATTGAGCAATTCTTGTTGCTAAAAATCAATAACAGCTTATGAATATAACCACAGATATGTTAAAGAAGAAAGTGAACCAGACTTCTAGCATATTTTTTTTTGGTGGTAAAATTGGCATTTGTCAATGGGAAATGTGTGCTAAAAAGGTAAAGCTATTCCTAAGTCATTTTTGATGTTTCCCTTGACAAGTCTATGGACTTTAAAGTCTGTTGACTTTCAAGTGTTTGGTAAAGTTGTCTGAGCCCACCTTTTGCCAAGCTGAGTAAAAAAGACATTAAAAGGGAAATGGAAAAAATGAATGTGAAGTCATTGCAATGTTTTGAATAATAAATATAGCCTCGGAAGCATATTTGTATTTCCTGTCTTTAGGAAGGCCCTTCCTGGCCTTGGCACTGACCTTAGAAAAACAGCTCCAGCCCTGTGGCCCTCAGCCCGTGGCTCTGACCTTGGTTGCTGGTGAAATGACTTTGCATTCTCTACCTATTTGCACCAGCGTTCCTTTGGCTCAGTGTACTGTCCTTTCGTGCATCAGGTCCCATACGAGTTGGTGGCCCAGTCTCATGACTCATATGTGGAAGCCGAAATCCATGTGCCCACCCTGGAGGACTTAGGAATGCAGCTGGAGGAAAGTGGGGCAACATTCCACACTTACCTGGAGCATCTTGTCCAGGGCCTCCAGAAAGAAGCCAAGGAGAAGTTCAAAGGATGGGTCGCCTGTTCCAGCACTGACAACACAGATCTTGCTTTCAAAAAGGTAATCTCAGGGGTTAGAAAAATTATACCCACCCACCCTCCAATAGCCACGTCTGACAACCAGGGATTTGTTTTTGCTTTTAAAAACAGCTACTCAGCCGGGCTTGGTGGCTCAGCCTATAATCCCACGCCTTTGGGAGGCTGAGGTGAGTGGATGGCCTGAGCCCGTGGGTTCAAGACCCGCCTGGGCAGAGAGACCTCATCTCTACAATAAATCAAAAAAAAAATCAGCCGGGCATTGTAGTGCATGCCTGTAATTCTGGCTACTCAGAAGGCTGAGGCGGAAGGATCGCTGGAGCCCAGCAGGTGAGGCTGCGGTGGCCGGAAGCTGCTACGCACTCCAGTCTGGGCGACCGAGTGAGACTCCAACTCAAAAAAATAAATAAATAAAATAAAATAAAATAAAAACAGCTGCTCTGTCCAGGGGGCTTGACACACAGACACGAACAGTTAAAGTACTTGTACTGTTCAAAGACACAGTCCAGAGACCACTCAGCCACCCTGTGGCATATAATCAGAGTGTAGACTGTGGAGCCAGACAGCAAGATCCCAGTCCTGTCTCCGCCCCTTAGCTGTGTGATGTTGGGCAAGTCACACACCTCCCCGTGCCTCAACTTTCCCAGCAGCAAAATGGACATTATAAATGTACCACTGTCAGAGGAAGGCTATTTAAAAATCAAATGAGTTGGCTGGGCGCGGTGGCTCATGCCTATAATCCCAGCACTTTGGGAGACCACCGAGGTAAGAGGATTGCCTGAGCCGGCGGATTCGAGACCAGCCTGAGCAACTTGGTGAGACCTCATCTCTATAATAAATCAAAAATTAAAGCTGGGCTTGGTGGTTCAGCCTGTAATTCCGTGTTTTGGGAGGCTGAGGTGAGTGGATTGCCTGAGCCCATGGGTTCGAGACCCACCTGGGCAACTTGGCGAGACCTTATCTCTACAATAAATCAAAAAATTAGCCAGGTGTGGTAGCGTGCATCTGTAGTTCCAGCTACTCGGAAGGCTGAAGCGGAAGGATTGCTGATGCCTAGCAGGTCGAGGCTGCGGTGGCTGGGAGCGGCCACTGCACTCCAGTCTGGGTGACAGAGTGAGACTCCAACTCAAAAAAAAAAAAAAGTTATCCTGGTGTGGTGGCGTGTGCCTGTAGCTCCAGCTACTTGGAAGGCTGAAGCGGAACGATCTCCTGAGCCCAGCAGGTTGAGTCTGCGGTGGCTGTGAGTGTGCCACTGCACTCCAGCCTGGGCGACGGAATGAGACTCCAACTCAAAAAGAAAAAATCAAATGAGTTAGAACGGTACCTGGCACACAGTGAAGCACTGTTGTTTGTTGGTGGTTATTATTTCTGTTATTATTTGACTATTCTTTCAAGCTTCACGATTAATGTTTGAACATTTTAAACCTGGGGTGCACTACATCACTCTCAATTGACATTATCGGTAACGGTTTCTGAACGCCTTAGCAAAATAGGGTAGGCTTTTTTTGGACTCAGATCTCAGGTGGACCCTTCAGCTTCTGACGGTGTCTCTTCCCAAGGTGGGCGATGGGAACCCGCTGAAGGTGTGGAAGGCTTCTGTGGAGGTGGAAGCGCCCCCCTCGGTGGTCTTGAATCGCGTGCTGAGAGAACGGCACCTGTGGGATGAGGACTTTGTGCAGTGGAAGGTCGTGGAGACACTGGGCAGGCAAACGGAAATCTATCAGTATGTGTTGAACAGCATGGCCCCTCATCCTTCCAGAGACTTCGTGGTCCTCAGGTAAGGCTGTCTCCAGGGCTCATGGTACTGCAGTTTCCCTACCCAAGTCCAGCCTCCACGGGTAACACCAAGGAGGCTCACCTTCTCAGCGGACCCTGATGTCCCTGTTTTGATGCCCAACTTCCTGCCTTCTTCTCCCGGTTTACAGCTCTGCCAGGTCCCCTTATGGCCCTGCTCCTAATGGAACACACAGTTTATTAGGCCCTAAATACTGTTCATTTCCTCAAACAGAGACCCGAGAATAGCTGATGTTTGTCCCTCTTATGCTTTGTGCCAAATTATGCAAACGGCCTCTGACTGGTGTTTCTCCTGATTTTGCCTTTCTGTCCATGGGGAAAGGAAGTATTCGGTGTATCTAGCTCTCAGAACCCAGCTGAATAATTTCAGATGTTCATAACTAAGTACCACGCCCAGAAACCTTGGCATAGCCCTGGAGGTCCAACTGTGCTGAGACACTTGGACATACAGTCAGATGAAGGACCTGACAAGGCTTGCTGAGTCTGTCTACCTTGGAAATATTGCTTCAGATTGATTTATGGTTGCACTCCAGACCCCTGCTGTCGGGGTTTTGAATGGGATGTTTAGCCCAAAACAGGAAGTTTGCATAATAGAAATGCAGCATTGCCTCAGGGAGAACAGAAATTGACAATACCAAAGTATCCAAATAACATATAATTCGATCAATAAATTATTTTTATTGGAAACCTTGGCAGACCTCGTCTCATGGATCCACGGTGTAAAAAGAACCACTCGTGAAATTCCCAAATGTGTCTTTAAAAGAGTTTCTTTATGAAACCCATTTTGATGGCAAACTAGAGGTGACTTTTCACACGGGCTTTTTATGCCTTTGGAATCGGTCGTTGGAACTTTGATTTTTAAAGGTCAACTTCCCTAAATGATGTGTCTATCTCAGCATCCTTGGGATGTGGGCAGTTAGAAGAGAGGCTTATTACCACATTAGTCATCTGGTAGAGTTAAACGTCACGCTTTCATTCTCAAAAGCAGAAAATTAAACAACAGTTGCAGGATGGAGCCATGCCATTGTGTGCCTCTTCCTTCCCTCAAGAGGAGAATGACAGCTGGAGTCCATTTGTGGAAACTCCTTCCTTCATCCGTCCAACAACCCTACCAGCCTGCTGTTTATTAGTGTGTCATTCCATCACAGTCTTATGCCAGGCGCTGTTGTAGGCTCTGGGAATACCATAATGAATGCCACAAACCAGTACCCTACTCTCTTGAGGTTTATATATTGCTGGAGAAGAGACTCAATACATGGTAAGAAAGGGAGTGGACTTACTCATGGTAGGGGAAATACGTGAGGTAGGGAGATAGTAAAGGATGGAATTTTAAATATGGTAGCCAGGACAGTCTCACTGCACTGATATTTGATCGAGGACTTGAGGGAGAAGGTGGGTGGACCTTGAGGATCTGAGGGAGAAGCATGCAGCCTTCCAGAGAGTTAACAATGAACCAGACCTGGTTCCTGACAGCAGGAATTCCTTACACCCACCACACGTGGAGGTGGAAAGTGACAAGTGTGGTGAGGAAGTCATCACAGGGCTGGGATGTGTCTCGTCTTCAGAGCATCTCCTTCTAGGCTAGCACGCACAAGGATGGTCACCTTTTGGGACTATCATGTTTTCCTCTCCCTCTGTACCCATCCCTAGCTCTTCAGGAGCTTCCAGTGAGCATAACAGAAGATTTTTCCATGTTATCCCCATAAATCTTGACAACATTCAGTCTTCACAATGTGTCACATTGTCATGCACATAACAGAGTAGTCACAGCCATGGGGACATTAGTCAGCACAGGGGCTTGGTGATTCCCAAGTTCTAGTTGGGCATGTGTGATAGTTTCCCTTCCTGGTGTGGTGGGACAGGGTGGAGTCCTGAGATGATCAAGCAAGGGAATAGGATTTGGAAAGGAAAGAACAGGAATTCTAAGAAGACAACCCATTATTATGGTTCCCTGTGGTAGAAAGGGAAGTAGACATTGTTACGCAAATGTACTCATGGCTCCTGACTTCCCTCCTTGACCCTTTTCCAAGTGGCAGTTTCCTCTGCTTGAATAGCTCCAATAACAGGGAACTCACTGCCTCCCAAGGCAGCCCATTCCATCTGTGGCGAGTTCTTTCCTGAACCAAAATGTGCCTTCCAGGCTCTGCCTCCTAGAGTCAAATCAGCCATATTTATTTCTTCTCCGCTCAAGGGCCAATCAAGTATTTGAAGACAATAAGCAGATCCACATGTATTTAATTTTCTTTAAGCAAAGCATCACCAGTTCACTTATTCCTTTTTTTTTTTTTTTTTGAGTTGGAGTCTTACTCCGTCGCCCAGGCTGGAGTGCAGTGGCTTTCTCAAGGCCACCACAGCCTTGACCTGCTGGGTTCCGGCGATCCTTCTGCCTCAGCCTTCCAAGTAGCCAGAACTACAGGCGCACACTACCGTGCCTTGTGGGGTCTCACCAAGTTGCCTGGACTGGTCTCAGACGTGCGGGCTCAGGCAATCCACTCACCTTGGCCTCCCAAAGTGCTGCTTTGCTTAAAGAAAATGAAATACATATGAATCTGCTTACTGTCTTCAAATACTTGATTGATCTTTGAGCCACCAATCCCAGCCAGTTTGTTTATTCTTGAGGATTTGATCAAGCATCACCTCTTCCAGGAAGCCTTCCCCGTCTGCTTCCACCCACCCTTCCATGTGATCCCAGAATCCTCCATGCTTGGCCTTATCCCTGCACTTACTATGGTGCTTTTACAAATCTCTTTAGAGTTGTCTGTTTTTTCTACTGGGGTGTATACACCATGGTGTCCTCTGTGGCTTCTCAGAGCCTGACACTCTATATGCTTAATAGATGTCTGCTGAATGAAATGAGTGAGTGAATCCTCATTCCCTTATTTTTCTAAACTGTAAAATCACATCTTTGTCAATGGAAAGAGGCAGGCCTCAGTTTGGCACTCCAAGTGCAGATCTGAAAACTGAAAGACCTTGTTTGGCCTCAGAGTTCCAGAGCGGAGATCCTTGCTTTGAACTGCACTTTATAAACATTGCAAAGGCTTATGGAAACCATTAGCTTAATCCAAGTCACTAGCACCAGAATCCAAGCCCAGGATTTTGGCAAGAAAATGGAAGTGTAAACCTCAGCGCTGTGTTCAGGTTTTTCTAACCCTGATATGTGGGCTGTTTTGCTGCAGGTCCTGGAAGACTGATTTGCCCAAGGGAACATGCACCCTGGTGTCTCTGTCTGTGGAACACGAAGAAGCCCAGCTCCTGGGTGGCGTGCGAGCCGTGGTCATGGATTCCCAGTACTTGATAGAACCGTGCGGCTCTGGGAAGTCGAGACTCACCCACATCTGCAGGGTAGACCTAAAGTAAGTACTCACGCCCCCCAAGGATGGTAGGCTCGGAGTTGGGGCATCTCAGCTCCCCCACACACCCGCCAGGGCCCTGTGTGTCATTCTGATTTCTGATTTCTCGTTTCCCACCACACCTCTCCTCATTGCCATGAACTTGCTTTTATAGATGATTTATATATGCCTCCTCTCTCTCTTTCCTGGTTCCTGCAATTCAGACAGCCCTTTGCCTGTCTTTATTTTCCATTCTCTGCCAATTTATATTTCTGTGTTTCTCCTATGAAGCACACACAAGCAATAGAGCCCAGCACCTTAGTAAATCTGCATTCCTTTCTCTTGTCTTTCTTTCATGCCTGTCCCCTTTTGCTGCTCCCTCCAGTTGTTCTTTTTTGAGAAGAAACTAACTTAAATTTGAGGTATTTATGATGCTAAAACTGAGTTCTTGGTTTGGGTAGATAAAAGTGAAATCTCAGGCATTTCCAGATTCAGTCTGAATCTTCCCATTTTACCCCAAAGGAGTTAGAATCATTTTAAAGCACCCAGTGAACACTGGAAAGATAGAGGGAATACTTGGCAGCCCAGACATTTTCAAGGCCCCTGATGACAGAATGAGGTCTTCAGACCCTGGAGGCGTGAGTACTGAGTTGTTTGCAGGTGCACTGGTCATCAGGGCTCGAGGCCAGCTCTGTCTGCCATGACAAATTGCTGTGATTTGGGAAAAAAAACTTTCCAACTTCCTTCTGATTTCTTTCCCCACAGAGGTCACTCCCCAGAATGGTACAGCAAAGGCTTTGGACATCTGTGTGCAGCGGAAGTTGCCAGGATTAGAAACTCTTTCCAGCCCCTCATTGCTGAGGGTCCAGAAACTAAAATCTAAGTTTTCCCCAGTGGGCCGTCAAACTCAGGGAAGAGGAAGCTAAATCAAATGCTTGTGGCAGAGGGTGCATGCGTGAGAAAGAAGAAAAAGAAGAGAAAGACGAAAAGGAATGTGGTTAGTGCATAAAAGTGGAATCACAGAGAAGTCGGAATGTTGAAGATGCAAGAATTTCTGAGAACTGTCCTAGCCTTCCTGGAGATGGCTACATCCCTACTAATATATTTTTTTCAATCAGAACATTTATCTATGTTACTTAAAATTAAATGAATTATTCCTTGTGCATTGCCTAATTTGCTATTTAAAGGCTTCTAAGAAGCATATTCTTAACTGTAAATAAATGTCTGTGTAGCATATGTACATAATGTGTGCATATCTCCATCCTAACTGTATATATGTAGCATATGGATTTTTATAGAGAATTGAGTGTTTTGAAAAGGACCATGTCCCACTGGGTGAGTCCATCCTCCCAATTGCTCTTTGCAAATTGCTCCAGGTCCCAGAACCTGCTGCTAACACCAAGGTGTGAAAACGCCCTCATGCCCAACCAAAGATGTATGTGCTAACCAAAGGAAAATGCCATTAAGAGGTTCTTATGTGTTGATGGTGTGGTTCTGTTACTCAAAAACGGAGATGAGAATGCTGGGAAAAAGCACCAGAAAGATTAGTGCTACTCCCCATGAAAGCAAAGCAGTGGGTCAGAAGTCATGACCAAATTCAAGACTAGATGATGAGTTACCACTGGGCCTGGCCAGAAGCAATTTCAGTGAGCTATCAGATGTGGATGGAGCACCGGAGTCGACAAGAATAGCTGAAACAGAAGCAATATTAACCCTCCTCCCCGCTTCCCAGCAGAGATGACTATAATAGCCTTTTGGTATTTGTAGCCAAAAGGGAGCCTCGGTGTTGTCTCAAGTTTTCATAAATACATTTCATAGTGTTGTAAAATTTCACTCTGTGTGACCAGTGACCTATTTGGTCACAGTTAATTGGCATTTTTTCTTACCACTGTATTGCACTGAATTCAACTCTGGACAACGCTCAAAGGGAGACGATGGTCATTTAATTCAAGCATCCTGGACTGTTACAGCTTCAGGGAATTCATATTTTGCTGTGCATGATGCTTTAAAAGCATACTTCGTTAAAGTTTTGCAATCTGAAAGACAGGGTTTTTAACTAACATAAGACCAAAACTATATTCTTTAGTTAGTTTCATAAAATATAATCAGGTTTATTAATTCCATGTTTCTTGGTTAGTCAGCTCAAGCTACCTATGCATTTGACCCAACCTTATTTATTATTGTACATACTAAACAAATTGACTCTTTTTAACCAATTGCTAATCAATTTAAGTTGGGGTTTTTTATTGTAATTCAACAACCGTAGAGAGAAAGATAACTTATTGTGTGTTTGGTTTCAGAGAGAGAGAGATTTTTCTTTGGGTATCCATAACAGAGACTGATATCGTGATTTAGCAACTGGTGTTGGAGAAAAAAAAAAGAAAAACAAATGAGTATTTTCAGGTTTGTCTTTGTATTATATGCATTTATGTAATGTTTTCTGTTATCAGCAATGTGCAATTATTTTATTAAGAGGAACGGAAAAGCTATATATGAGTTTGTTATGGTGCAAGGAAAATCATACTGTTTGAACTATGACCTAGGAATTTTTTTTTCTTCATTCCCAGGTCTACCTAAGAAGGTGGTACCAAATCCATAATTTACCATTTGGGCAATTCTCTGTAAGCAGCACAAACTCACTTGTGCTGTAACATCTTAAATGTAACCCTATATGCTAGATGACTTTGTATGCATTGACAAGATCATTAGTGCAGTTGAATCTAGCTAAACATGGGTCCTACTCCGGAGATGGGACCCTACATTGTGGGAAATTTGATAGGCAGAAGGATGAAGGCATCGTATCACCCAGAGCAGCTTCTTCAACTTCAACATGGACATGAAATGCCTGGTGGTCTCATAAAAATACAGACTTCAATTCAGCAGTCTGGGGTGGTCCTAAGAGTTTGAATGTTTTTTTGTTGTTGTTCCAGACAGGATCATAGCGTACTGCAGCCTTGAACTCCTGGACTTAAGTGATACTTTTGCCTTAGCATCCCAAATATCTGGGACTACAGGCACACGCCACCACATCTGGCTTTTTTTTTTTTTTTTTTTGTAGAGACAGAGTCTCGCTATGTTGTCCAGGCTGGTCTCAAACTCCTGGCCTCAAGTTGTCCTCCCGCCTTGGTCTCCCAAAGTGCTGGGATCATAGGCGTGAGCCACTGTGCCCAGTCAGGTTCTGCTTTTTAAATGAGCTTCAGAGGTTCCCATGCTGCTGGCCCAAAGACCATACTCTGAGAAGCAAGGACCTAGAGTACACTTAAAACAGAAAAAAAACTATGTATTTCTCACTCCCCCCTTCAAATTGCCTGAATTTTAAATTTTTATGCACATACTAATCATGTCACTGCTGCATAGCACAGTGCATCTTTAAAAAAGAAAAGGGAAAAAAGAAGAAAAAAGATGCATTAAGCTTGTTTGTCAAACACCATAGTATTTTATTCATTGTTATCTTGCCAATGGAAATAAAATATGATATTGCATTTAAATATTATATTTATACCTCATGTATATTTTTACCTCAATTGTTGGTATCAATCATCAATTGTAAATAAATAATTGCCAAGGCAAATAAATTTATATACATTAAATATTTCCTATTTTCTATAAAATAGACGTTGATTTTCATGCTTTGTCTTATAAGTGAAAAACCTGCTTCATGAGGAAGCTTTCTCTCTAAGTTCGCTTGCCATGACCTTGACTCCTTGGCACTATCTGTAGTCAATGCTATCTTCAAAGACAAGGATGTTGCTTTTAATAGACATTCACTAACTATCTGGGTGCCTTAACGTGGGTCTAAGGCATTAAAGTAATGGGTGGGAATTTCTTTATTTTTTTACATATCATTGCTTTTAAAATTGGACATTATAGACAATTGGGAGTTTTTTCCTGTCCAGTCGACTGGTCCTGAACCGCCTTTCCTGCACTAAGCTCCTGAATAAAGCCCGTGTCTCAAAAAAAAATTAGACATTATAAACCGTATTTATAGTATTTTTATCAAAGATTTAGTGAAATCACTAGCTACATTTTATTTGTGATGAGTGGACAAGAAATCAAGCTTTGATGAAATTGTTACCCACTACGTTCTCCTGTCGGCCATGCAATAGAAATTGACATGAAGCCAAGTAGATTTCCCAGACAGGGCTTTGTTGGGGGCTTAAGTTCCAACACAAGGAAGATAGCACAGAAGGAATAATTCTCCAGCTGGTCCTCCAGGGGAGCCCCATGGGGCCTTTTGTGGAGTTGGCTCGGTGAGTCTTTGTGTGAAGAGACAGAGTCCGGATGATGCAGGTGCAGTTGTTAACCATGCTTCTACATACGTTGCATGTAAGTCCCTTCCCTGAGCAGAGATTTTAGAAGGATAATGAGGCAAAGATGATGATTGGTCATTCTCTGGATCTTGTGCACATATGTAGGTGTAGGAGCCAGCTGCATTGGGAAAGATTTGCTGTAGAATATTGATCATCTCTGTGTCCAAGCTGGGTGAGGCAGGACTTGTGGGTGGTACAGGACTTGTGGTTAGCAAGTAGGGAGAAATACGTCAGTAGGGTTGAGACTGAGTCCTGTTCCTACAGTGTTTCAAAATGACTTCCAACTGTACCACTAGACCAGGAAGAGTAGTCACAAATGACTCTAAACCTCTTTCCTTCCATCCTTGTACTTGTTCTCGCTGGACTTTGCTTTTAACAAATAACAGAATCGGCCCCTAAATAAGTGAGCAGAAACTTCCAGACATTCTCATCTGTAGGCTTCATAGGTGACAGCAGCCCAGAAGACCTTACGCCCATATAAAAATTATCCCAGCTCTGCTCTCAGCTCATCTCACCCACATCTCTGCTTTCAAAGTAGGCAGAAAAGGGCCTCAGTGGCCCCTTTTTCTCTTCTATGTGAAAGAAAAGAACAGGGGGTCATTCTAGCAGCCACAGGTTACAAATGTCCTGGGAGCGTAGGTCACGTGAACTCAGACTTGATTCCAAACATGCTTCATGAAATCCTAAGATACAAAGCTGTTCTACTTCTATATTTTGATATTTGGTCACAGAAAAACTGGTCATGTGGTTTCTTATCAATAAGATAACATGAAGAGATAAAGCAGACCCCAGCCAAGTAGAGTGTCACATGCTGACACAAAAGCAAAATCAATGTATATTAACTATACAAGGAGTGAAGAAATAAATACTTGACCTTGGAGCACTATAATGTTGCACAACCATGAAGTCTAAACAACTGACAAATGTACAATTTATACATTCCTTAGGTGGACTACATCCTTTGTAGATTTTCTTAGAGACAGTGATTACTTACATTCTAATAATCCCAGATCAATCCACCTGGATTCCTCCTAGTTTACATAAGCCTGGTGCAGAGCTAAGCTCAAAATTCCAAGTTACACTGCACCTCTGAAGCAAACTTGCCTGCATAAGACATTTATTCATTCAGCATACATTTATTCAACATTGAATAGAAATGGGGCACTGGCAGGCAGAGGCTCTGATACAAAGAAGACAACGTGTGAAGCAGAAACTGTGACATACAGTCAATTCTCATTACTCATGGTGGTTCTGTTCTAACACAGTCATTGCGAACACTGAATTGGCAAACACTGGATCTCCTAGGAGAAATACAGGGTTAGGTTCCTGTGCACCTCCTCGCACATTTTTGTCAACCTAGAACTGCATAACCTTGCTGCATTGAGTTTCTGTATAAAGACACCTTATTTTATTTACATTCCTTACAGTATTCTGCCATATTTCTTTATAGTAAAAGAAGAACCCTTTATAGCTGAAAAGGGTTTAGCATTTCCCTGACCCTAGATAACATGACTACTTTTCTTGGGCCTTCAGTCTCACAACACTGCTCTTTAGACTACACTTTTAAAAGCCACTTGCCATCATGAATCCACAAATGTAACCACTTTTCTATTTTTTCCATGGCTTCATCTGCACACTATAGATGTCACTTCATCACTTTCCAGAGCAGCTTTGTGTGCAGTTGGGTGAATTTCATCTTCTTTTCTCTGGATGTACCATAGTGTCAGTTTATTAACATTGATCTCAGCCAACAGCCCTATAACTCAGGCCTGCAGAAAGCTCATCCAACACACGTATTTTCTCCATAAGGCACACTCTAGCCTTCTTTCTCTTAAGAACACTACACAGCACTTTAGCGTGACACCTGAGCCCTTTAAACAGTGAAATGAACACCAAAAAGCACAAACATTTGAAAAATGTGTCAATTAATAGACTGCAAGAAAAGACACATGTTTACAGTAGGGTATCTGAAACAGGAAGGTAGAGGTCACATTGTTGGACCTCCACT